AACCGCGCGCGCGCGCGCGCGCGAGAGAGAGAGAGAGAGAGAGAGAGAGAGAGAGAGAGAGAGAGAGAGAGAGAGAGAGAGAGAGATTCACTGCAGGATTATTTTGTAAAGTGGATAGGGCGCCAGGCGCCATTGTGCGTGTGTGTGCAGGCGCCATTGTGCGTGTGTGTGCGTGAGTGTGCGTGATTGATTGATTGATTGATTGATTGATTAATTGATCTGTGTGAGTGTGTGCGTGATTGATCTGTGTGCGTGTGTGTGCGTGAGACCACCAGTACTACTACTACTCCTAATTGATTGATTGATTGATTGATTGATTGATTGATTGATTGATTGATTGATCTGTGTGCGTGTGTGTGCGTGAGTCCTCCAGTACTACTACTACTACTACTACTACTACTACTTGCGTGCTGCAACTGTATCAATCTCTCTCTCTCTTCAATGAAATCAATCAATCAATTAATCCTTCAATCAATCAATCAATCCATCAGTCAATCCAATCAATCTATTGATTGATTGATTGATTGATTGATTGATTGGTTGATTGATTGACTGATTGATTGATTCATTGATTGATTGATTGAAGCATTGAAAGATTGATTGATAGGTTGGTTGGGTGGCCGGGCTGATGGCTGGCCGGTTAGGTGGGTGGTTGGTTGATTGTTTGGTTGGGTGTGTGGGTTGGATGGGTGGGTTGGGTTGGTTGGTCCAGCACTCATTCAGTGCGACGCTATGTCTGTGTCTATATGGTATATTGAGTATGTCTGTGATCGAGTCTGTCTGTGAGAGGGTGTGTGTGTGTGTATCTGTATGTCAATTCTTCTTCAGTCAATGAATTGATCGATAGATTGATTGATTGATTGATTGATCTGTGATTGATTGATTGATTGATTGATTGATCTGTGATTGATTGATTGATTGATTGATTGATTGATTGATTGTTCCGAAGTGTGTGTGTGTGTGTGTGTGTGTGTGTGTGTGTGTGTGTGTGTGTTGTTCGTGTGGCCGATAGACAGATAGATAGATAGATAGATAGATAGATAGATAGATAGATAGATAGAGAGAGAGAGAGAGAGATTCACTGCAGGATTGTTTTGTAAAGTAGATAGGGCGTAAGGCGCCATTCAAGAGAGAGAGCAACATTGGGGTATGATTGATTGGTGTTGCCCGATTGGGCTTGGACATTGACTCACGATTCTGCTGTTTTGTTGTCGAATGGATGGTTACTCGGTTCCATTGTGCTATCTGCTCTGGCTTTGACTACTTGGACTTCACTGGATTTCTGTGTTTTTTTTTTTTTTTATAAAGATAACTGCTGCGTGATGCCTTGTTCGCCTGGGCAGGTGACATATGTGCATATCAAGCTGGTGATGTACATGGAGGACAACCAATTGTCG